ACTTTCACTAAGGGCCAATGGTCATCTTCACCCCCCCAAAAACTAACATTATATAAGCACCCACAAAATTTGCGAAAGGACAGTTTCAGTACAGTTTTCAGTTCAATAGTCAGTAGTTCCAGTTTCAATTTCTGTTTTGTTTTCTTCCTCTCCGCCGACTTGTATTTTTCCAACGTAACCTTGTTGCTAGAACCCGTGTTGTATATAGAAATCCGGGTTCCAACAACATTTAAGAATTCGACAGACATTGGTCACGGTAACAATGATCTTCTTCAGCGGTTTTTCTGGATCTTGACATATTTTTCCGAGGATTGGGGTAAAATATGACCTTAGTCTTAGTTTTTACGAGTTGACTAGGATGTTTTCTGTACTTTGGAAATGACGAGTAACGGGAGATGACTAACTATCTCAAATGTCGTGGCTATGTACGTTTCCTGAGTCAGTGGTGGATAGCTATCAGCAATGTGGAATAAGGGTCTCTTCGCAAACACACCTAAAATGCACCATAGACAGAGTAAAATTTCTGCAAAAATCTTGCAAACTCGGGACAAGAAGAACGATATACCATTGGGAATAAAAATTTGCGGGAAAGTGGGCGAGTGGAGGAAAATTTGTGGAAATCAGTTGGAGAATGCCTGCTAACCCGTGAAAAGAAACTGGTTCGTCGTCCAGTAGCGCTTCTCTTTGAATCCACTTTTCACGCGAACACCACTTCTGCCCGTGCTCGACTTCAACGACAATTCCAAGAAGCACCTCGGCGTTATAATTAACCCCGTGACTCCTCCAAATAATTAAAACCCTCGAATAGCCCCGGGAGCGGTGTTTGTGTACTCAGACGGAGCCGGTGAATTGAAGATGTTCGAGCCGACGAGCGATCCCGATGGCAATCGGAGGGCAGCCGCGGGAAACGGCTGTCGTTGGGTACCAGTTCCGACGAACCGAATCGTCCGCGCCGGTTCATCGAGACTCGTGGCCACGTTTCCCGCTAAACCCCGCTCGTATATTATCCGCCGTGTTCCCGGGAAGTCCGATTCCACGCGTGCGAGTAAACAGATCCGCTTTGACGGCGGAACGGCGAAGGAGGCGGAGGACGGCGGCCATTTTTATTCCGCGATACGGTCGCGTGTTCCGACAGTGTGGCGAAACCAGTTCAGACGTGTAATTTCGGACCGTCGAAAATGTTTCTCGCGCCCCTGGACTGGTGATTGAAAAGCGTTTCTCGGTATCGTGCCGCGGTATCGCAATTATCGCGGGCCGCAGCGCGGCCGATGAAAAATACGCGGTCGGGGGTGGGGGGTGGGGGCCTGTTCGCACTGCGCCGGCCCGTAATCGCGCACGCCAGTTGGCCGTGGAGGCCGCTGCGTTCGCGCGGCCTGTTCGAAACGTGTAATGAACGCTCGATGAACCGTGCACGGTGTTCACGCGCCGAAAATAACGCCGTGGTACTCGCGGATATCGTCTGACGGTGGAACGACCTGGTGAAAGCAGATGGTGGATTTCGACAGAGTGTACTCGTCCGTTTCTTCTTTTTCCTTTCACGGCTATATATTCCGGGTATACCCGAACGTATGCGAACGCGTTGCAAAGACTCGAGAGAGATTCGTATAAAAGCGTGCAAAAATATTTGCATACGTAGGATTATGTAATTTTAACGTGGAATACAAACTCTACGAACGATTTTCGCTATCCTGTTGTTAAGCAGCTCGCTCGTGTCTGATTTTTTCACAGCGAGATTCACTCGAGAACGCGCAGTTAATTAACTGGCTTTTTAAACGAACGACGTTTCCGCTGGTTCTAAATACTGAAATATCAGCCGGCTAATCATTTTGCGAGAGCACGGCTACAACGGGAACGCGTTCTAATTAACATTATGATTGTTCCGAACAATTAAAGCGTTCGAGTAGTAATCACACCCTCCTCAGGGCGAAAGTGCGCGCGGAACGAGTACGGACGTGTATATAATCAAAGCAATTTCCTTTGTTTGCAGCACAATGCATCGCACCCCTGGGGATGGAATCTGGTGCGATTCCCGATGCAGACATCACAGCGAGCTCGAGTTTCGATAGCGGAAATGTCGGGCCACATCACGGACGGTGAGTGAATTACCGTGTATTACCGTCTCGTTTATAGAGCGCATTATGCAGATGCGATGCAATACACATTCGGAAATATGATAAAATTAACCCCTTTGTGCGCCGTGCCCGGCCAACAGGGATGCAATTTCCCGAAATCAGTGCGCTTCGTTAAGCGATCTATTCGGGGGTGAATTGCCGCGATCTACGTGCTAAAAGATCCCCTTACGCTTCGCGAGAGATCTCGAAAATTGTTTCGATATTAGCGCGTTCAGCGTTGCGCCGAGTCACGTTAAAATCGAAAAATTTCCTTTATCACGCTCAAACGTTACTTCGCGAATTCCGCTCTTGCGTTTGACTGTTCGTCGAAGCTATTTATAAGGAATAATCTTCGAGATCTAACGCGTATGGTCGCCATTTTGGGCCGGAGTAATTATTTGGTACACTGTCTAGAACACGGACTGCTCGAAACTTTTATAGCTAATCTAGAGACCTGTACTCCTGCCTATTTTTGCACACAATTCCAACAAAAGATGTTGGATCATTTGGACGTTTCTGCGATGCTTCCCTCGATCATAGTTAATGCCATTTTTGATTATGGTAACTATTTGGTACACTGACGAGAACACGGACTGCTCGAAACTTTCATAGCTGATCTAGGGACCTCTGTTGCTATCATTTTTGCTTATGATTCTAACGAAAGGTGTTGGATCATTCGAATGACGCTGCTATACTTCCCTCGGTATATCTAATACCATTTTTGATCATGGTAACTATTTGGTACACTGACTAGAACACAGACTGCTCGAAATTTTTATAGTTGGTATAGGGACCTGTACTGCTATCTATTTCTGCTTACGATTACAATAAAAGATGTTCGATCATTCGAATGACGCTGCTATACTGCCCTCGTTATACCTAAGGCCATTTTCGATCAGGATAATTATTTAGTGCACTGATTAGAACAAAGATTGCTCGAAACTTTTATAGCTGGTTTAGAAATCTGTACTGCAATGTATTTTTGCATAATACTCCAACAAAAGATGTTGGATCACTCGAACGACGCTGCGATACACCCCTCGGTATACCTAATGCCATTTTCGACTATGGTAACTATTTGGTACACTGACGAGCACACAGATTGCTCGAAATTTTTATAGCTGATCTAGAGATCTCTATTGCTATCTATTTTTGCATATTATTCCAACAAAAGACGTTGGATCATATGGACGTTGCTGCGATGCTTCTCTCGATCCTATCTAATGGAATAGCTAATTACACATCGGTATTGTGGGTCATTTTTGAAACAGCATCGCGTCAAAACAAGCATTTAATAACCATCGTTCGTATCGCTGATCGTCTCTGAGTGATCGAGCTTAATTCGCCATTAAATTTGTCAGCGGGATAAATAATATCGCGGCGTTCTTTCTCGGACGAAAAGGATTTATCAAGCCGGTCGACGGACGGTTTAAAACGCGATGCAGATTGATGCGCGAGCGCGATTGTGCGGCGGAGAGTTTGACGACAGAAAAAGAAGAACGAGTCGGTCGCTCGTGCGGCACGATAACATTTCTGACTCCGAACGCTTTCTACGGCTTAAACGGATGATCCTCTTCCTGTCCGTCATCCTGTCTACGGCCGAGATAGCTCACGATCGGGACTCGACCGGTCACCGTATTAATCACCGACTACTAAACTGCACGTCTAATTCGGCCTTCAAGCCGCAATGAGGATTAATGACGCGGGGATGTCCCGCATGCACGGCCATTTGTATCGAACGTTCCGAAGCTCTTAGGCATCGTTAACGTGGCCTCCGCGTATTCCTTTGATTATACGTGCCAGCTAATTACCATTCCAAAGAGAGGATTCCAGCGGTCTCGGCCAGATATAGACAGAATGCCCGAATTACGAGGCCTCGAAACGAGGACCACCCGCCATGTTAACGAACCGAGGCATCGCGAATCGTTTACACTCTCCGGAGAAACCTTCCTTCCTTCCTCTCCGCCTTAACGATCCTCGATTACGTCGTCCTCGAAATCGTTGTCGACTCGCGTTACGGCTTCGCGCCGATTCGCCATCGCGAACCTCGCGTAAATAATCGTTAATAAGGGAGGAGGACGCGTGCGTGTGCGACAGCAGCTTAGGAGCTCGGCGATCGTATATCTCGCGAAATTAAAAATTCCTACCTTCCCGAGACATCGAGACATTGTAGTCTATAAAAAGCGGAGGGTCGCGAGAGCAATACGAACAAGGACGTAAAGTTAGCTTAAAGGAGTGGAAAAATGGGATTATTAAGAGAAAGAAAGGAAACCGAGTTCGCTAGTTTTACCTGTTCCACGTGGTCCCTATTCGCGGTAGAGATATTTTATTAACACCCGTGACATTTACGAACTTCTTTGATAGCGATGGGTGGTCCCTTCCTTTCAAGCGTCACCGTGCACTCCGGGATTCAGAGAAACACGACGAGGAGGCGCGAACGTGTTTACGGTCCGGGGAATTTCGTTGAAAAGCTGCATTAATGCCGGCACGATAATTGGAAGTTTAACGTGTAAGAAGGTATCGCGACGTTTCCCTTCTCTCTTCTCCCACTCGCTCTCCTTTTTCTCCTATTTTATTCCCGTCTCTTTCGTTTTTTCGGCCACGATATAAAGCAAGGAAAGCCTTTTCGATGCAATGCCGATATCGTCGCTTGTGCACACACTCTTTACCGGTAGAGACCGTCTAGACCTTCTTCAACGGCATTTCCATGGCTTCCTGATACTGCGGGCTTCCCGGTGAATACCCTATTTACCCCATACGACTCTCGTTTACCCTAAAATACGCGAATCTAACTCGTATTACGTGTACGCTCTTTCCCGAGACGTCCTCGGCGATACGCACGCGTTTCGTAACGCCGAAATCTCGCGCGAGCCGCCATTTTTCCATTTCCATTACTCCCTCAGCTGCGAGAACTCTTACAAATCCCAGCCTATTTATCGGGGAATTAAACGTAATCTCCGCTCCGAGAAATACCCTACATTATATTCGTACGTCGCATTCGCAACCGTGACCTTCCATCATAAGATACACCCGAGTTGCCAACTCGGCCAATCGCGATTTGGTAAGCAAATCGATAGTAAGCAAAATTCGCGCGACGTTCTGCGAGATTTGCTTTCCCCTTTTCGCAAACTGCAGATCCGAGAGGCAAACATCCGTAAGCCGAAATGGCGTTTATCCGGAGAAAAGGAGGAAGGCAAAAGTCGGAGAGGAGGAGAGAAAAGAAAGGCAAGGCGTGTAAATAAGAGAGCAAGCGGTGCACTCAACCTGCAGGCAGCCGTCGTTTGTCTTGAGCGATCGTGCGCGAGTCGCTCGCGTGCCCGGTCGGGCACAGCGTCGTCGCTCCGGGTCCATGCCCGACACGTTCATGGAAGAACGTTTTCATCGTGGGTTCTTGCCGGCGTGGCCGGGGGCAACAAATCATCCCCGAGCGGGTGGATCGTAAGTCCTCGAGTGGCTCGCGTTGGCTCGCGTTCGACGAGCCATTCCTCCCCGATAATCGAGCCGTTCGTCTGAACGGTGTCGCGCCCTCGACGATTTCGCCGACGTGGCCTTAGCCATCGCTGCTCGAGGCCCGCGTAATCGTCCGGCCCGAGATTTATCGCGCGGAGCAGGGTGGCGCGAGCGACCGGGCCGCGGAATGTCTTTGATGCCCTGGACTGTATCAAAGTGGCAGCCAAGGCAGTTCGAGCTCACTTAATGGGCTATGAGTTATGGTCCTTCGCTGTACCGCGTGTGTCCTCCCTCTCTTTCGCGCCTGTCTTCTCCGAGTCTTCCTATTTACCTTCCCGATCCGTCTCTCTCTTTCGCTCTCTCCATCGCGTCTCATCCCTTTCGTTCGTCCGCCGTGTATGCGCTCCCTTTTATCCCGGTTCGTTCTTTCCGCGACGTCGACGCGACGGCTCCTTCGTTCCACTCTCCTCGCAGGAGGTTCGTTCGTTCTTTCGTACGTACGTTCGTTCAGGGACACACGACAGCTTTTGCCGGGGCCCGGCGTCAAAGCGACGCTTAAAATTCTACGCAGCCGAGGACCCGGCGGCTCACCTCTTTATTGCGAATACTTTCCGTACCACAGCGAGCGCGCGTATATAACCCCTTGGACCCAGGCTGAATTCGTTCGGCTCGGCCTACTCTCCACTCCTCGCGCGTTATTCCCTCTGCTCCCGTTCGCGTTGCGAGGCGTTCGAGACACCGGCGGCTTCTTTTGCGCCGCGAGGGGCGGTGCCGTTCGAAAGTAATCTTGGCCGTCGAGGGCCCCGGCGGCTTCTCGTTTTTTATTGTTGAAATTGAGTTTCAAAGTGACTAGGCGAGCCGGGCGAGCGTGTTTGTTGCGGGCGTCAAAGGTGAGACACGGGAAGTTCGATTCGGAGAGGAGGTAACGCGCGTCGAGAGCTTGCCGGGTAAACTTATCCCAGCTACTTTCACTCGCGGGGGAACGACCACCGCTGCGCAAATCCTACGTGTCTCTCCTTCGTCGACGCCATTTTCGCCTCCGACGATTTCCTTTGCTCCTCTCTTTTTCCCTCTTTTACCACCGCGGAAACGCGCCGTTTCTCGCAGTCTCGGTGTTTTATCGCGCGGATCGAGAGTTACGGTAAAATCGCAGGATCGTTTGAAAAGAATCGGGTGTTTCGCAACAACGAGAAACGCCAGGCGTCCGAGATAACGTTAGGATTATACGGAAAAACTGGTATTCGATTGAAAGCCTGGCGCGTATCCGCGTAAAACGGTAAACAAGTATCCGATAATCCCGCAAGGCGTTTCGAACAGGCGATCGAGTTGGAGCATTCCTGAATCCTCGTCGATCTTCCCCGCGATCCGTGGAATCGGTGCCAACATTCCTCCTCGCTGTACGCGTTTTTCGCGGCAATCACGGTGCGCGAGCGCGCAGAGGAAGGGGAGCTTTTTAATGCCGTAGACGAAAGGTATGTGCGAATACAATTATTAGCCGGCTCTCGAAGAGTGGCTTCCCCGTTCTCTGGCGTACTCGCGCCGGTGCCAGCTCATCTTTAATTCATGCCATCCGGTGGCTCGACTCGATCGATAAATTATAATTTCACCCCGTATCGGCCCCGGCAGAGGTGACGGTTATCCGTCAGCCACCGGCAGGATCACGTATTTATACGATTTCCTTTCCCGCGACGATGTAACATTTCCGATTATGCCGTCGTCCTCTCTTTACCCGCCGCCTTATCGCCAGATTCTTATCGCCGCGTCGATTGCCAAGTCCGCGTACGATCGCGCCGTACGCCGCGCGACCAAAAGGCGCCGGGAATACGCGCGTTCCGTCTAACAGGATGGGACTCGTAATTGCCCATCTCTCTCTCTCTCTCTCTCGAGGTGTCCCAGGTACATACGCGCGTGTGCACGGGTACAGGAGATGTGGAAGAGTTTCGAATAACGTAAATTTCACGGTTCACGAGCGTCCGTCTTCCGAAGAGACGCGAAGGAAACGAAGGTCCGGGAAAGTAGCACGTCGAATCGTTCAAATATCAATTACGCCGTTTAAACACTCCGGCGTGGTTCTCCGTGTGCATAGCCCATATTCGTAGCATGGAAATTGAGTTACACACAGCGGAAATCCCCGGAGAGACGTGGAAAAATTTCCACGTTTCCCTGCGAGCCTGCCTCAGCTCCCTGCAAATGATTCAGCGTTCCCGTTTTCCCGGGATGACGCGATGAAAAGAGGGAAAAAGGGGGAGAGGAGGGGAGAAAGGAAAAGAGCAGAGGGGCAAGAGAAATGAAAAAAAAGAAATGGCTGCAGCTCCGAGGGAAAG